AACTACAATAACATTATTTAACTCCAATCCTTGTGGATACAATTTTATATTTTACTATATTCGACTAGCGAGCATATTTTAGTATGTGTTCAGAGCTCGTCTTCTATCCACTCCATGTCCCTTCTTGTAACGACATGGCCGGTCAATTCATGAGTTACCATCCCGTTTCCCTCATTTCTGCTTCTTATTGTCTAGTTCAGCTGTGTTATGTGCTATCGGGTTGGTTGGCTCGGGTTCGGAGAGATTTTTGTAAGCTTTGAGACACTTAGTCTCCTTTAAGAAAGCTTAAGTTGGAAAAGTCAACCGAATGTTGACTTATGTGAAATAGGACTCGGATGTGAATTCCGATGATTCAGATAGCTTCGCGAGGTGATTTGGGACTTAGGAGTGTGATCGGAATGTGTTTTGGAGGTCCGGAGTAGATTTAGGCTTGAATTGGCGAAATTGGAATTTTGGCGTTTTCCGGTCGATAGGTGAGATTTTGATAGAGGGGTCAGAATGGAATTCCGGAAGTTCCAGTAGGTCCATTTGTGTCATTTGGGATGTGTGTGCAAAATTTCAGGTCATTCGGACGTGGTTTGATAGACTTTTTGATCGAAAGCGTTTTTCGGAAGATTTTGGAACTTTAGGCTTGAATTCGATGTGATTTGGTTGATTCGATGTTGTTGGCCCAAGTTCCGGTGAAGTTTTGAAGAATGACAAATGAACTCAGTCATGGACCAGGTCCATCATGTGAGACACAGTGTTTATCAACCTATACATGTGAGATACACGTGAAGGAGATAAGTCTCAAGGATAAAGCAGCAATATCTCCTCAACTGATCGAAAAGGTTGCATATTGGATGAGGAAAGAAAGTATCCTCATGGGAAGAGGACACAATCCGGATAAAGGATAGGGTTGGAGTTTGGATTATTCAAGGACTCAACTTCGATGGAAGATCAGTAATTGAGTCTCAATCAAACTCTGATTACTAACTCATTAAATAACAGTGATTGTTCTCTTTTAGATGGATTGCACAAACGCAGAAGTGAAACTAAATTGAGAGCAAAAGAGCGAGGCAATTTTGCAAGAAATTTATGTGAGATTCAAGTGTGCATTCCTGAAGCTACTTGGACAAGATAGAAGGCAATTCCATTGTGTTTATTCTTATTCTAGTTCAATTGTAGTAGGTGGTTTAAAGTTGTACCTTTCCAGCTTTTGTAGAAGCAATTGTAATAGGTACTTTGAGTATTCAAGTTATAGGCTAACTTAAAGGTGTCGCAACAGTTGAGGCTGTGTGCCACACTGGGATTAGAGTTTAATCCTTAGGTTTACAAGAGTTTTGTTAATGCTGTTTTGGCTCAGTGATTTTAGTGGAAGTTTGGGAAAATCCTACTGAGTAGTAGGTCGTGGTTTTTTCACCTTTTGAGCCAGGTGTTTTCCACCTAAAAATCTCTGTGTTCTTTATTTTTTTGTATTTATTATTCCGCAAACAGCAGTAGTTAGTATACCTAGAAGAACCAGGTTCTTCTAGAGCGAAAATTGGGTACCACACAAATCACCCCCCCCCCTCTTGTGTGGTATTGACGTTTAGAACATCAATTGGTATCAGAGCAGGTTATCCTTGAAGAGGCTAACACCTTAGGAGAAGATCAACATGAGTGCACCACCTGGGAACTGGGAAGGGCAATCCACTGCTAGGCCTCCACTTTTCAATGGTCAGTACTATTCTTGGTGGAAGAACAGGATGAGAGATCACATCATAGGGGGAGACTATGAACTCTGGGACATAGTCATTGATGGTCCCCTAGCAACCACAAAGAAGAATGCTGAAGGAGTTGATGTGCCAAAGACAAGGGCTGACTGTACTGCTGAAGACCTGAGGAAGTGGGAGAAAAAT